TGCTACGCGTGACGATGTAATTTTGTTAATTTATGGATATTTGTTTAACAAATGAATTTTTTTGATGTTTCTTTGCACTATTCTGGAGCAACAAAAATGCAACAAAATCTGGTGTACTTGATTTTTTGATATTGTAGCTCTATATCCGTTTTTTGACTATGGGGGGGTCCAGCTTTCTATTAAGCTGGACCCACCCTTTTTTTTTTTTTTTTTTACTGCGGAACGGCTGGAGCAACAAAATTCTTTCTGGAGCAACAAATTAGCAACGAAAGAGCACTAAATTTTTCAATATGTCCGGACCCGATTTGCGCTGGTGGGGGGTCCAGCTTAATAGGGGTCGCTTTTTTTACCTTTTTTTGAAAAGGTAAATTTGTATACGATTAAAGTTACTATTACTCAATTAAAAAATCCTACCACCACCCCCATCGTCTTATAATAATAAAATTTAACTTGATAGAATTTATAAAATTTAATGAAATTTAACTTGATAGAATTTATAAAATTTAACTAATAAAGATAGTATTACTTGGGTTTTACTTTTTATTTTGATAGTAGAATTTAACTTGGCGCCAGTTTTTGATATCATATCAAGACGATGTTCTTCTATATAAAAAAATCCCATCACCACCCCCATCGTTTTATAATTATGATATAAAAATGTCAAGATATATAAAAAACGATGGTCATCTATATAGAAATATTTAACTTAGCATCAATTGTTGATATCAAATCTTTTGTACGAGTCATACTATTTAACTTGGCGTCCGTGTTAAAATATATTAAATCATTTATGTAAGTGATTATTAGAATTTAACATATCACTTATTATATATTTTTGGTGATATTTTTTTGTAAAAATAATATAGAAATAGCATCTTTAGCACCTCTAGGCCATTGTTTTTATATAACTTGCACATCATCAATTTCGATCCAAGATGTTCCTTCTCGACACATACTTGTATAATGACCCTCTTCGACACATGAACCATAATGAAATATAGCATTCATAACTTTGTATATCTGTCCAGCTATTAATATTTTCGTTGTTGGAACAGCACGTAAACTAAATTTGTGTGGTATCTTTACTAACTTATCATTTTCTGAAACAAAAGATATTAATTGAATAATAAGTACCTCTTTTACCGAAATCAATTCATCTTTAAATAATATATCATTTCTTCCACAACGTTCACATAATTTATCAAATGACGCCAATGTGATGAAAACGTAGTTTTTAATAAATCATCCAGATTATAACTTTTCTTCTTCAAATTGTTAATAAGAATTGAAAGTAAATTAGTATTAGTAATAATTTTCGTATTACCACACGAATTGCATCGACAAATATAAGTAACTTGATATTCTACCATATTTTTTATATAATCATATTTTATACAAAGACCTGTAAGAAATTCTAAAGCATCTCGTTTAATAGCAACCGAAAATAATTCCCCTGAAGATTCATAGGTATTCAAATTATTCATTCCATGTTCACATCGCTGTGCAAACAAATTTAAAACATCAGGTTTATCGTAATTTAATAATAGCTTTCTGGAAACATCTAAATTCAATAAACATTGCAATACTGCATTTGCATAGCATGAAACCTTGTCTGTATTTTGAAAACCACGTATAGTCTAAGCAGTACTTTTTAATGGAGCTTTTTGACCCGATTCTTGAACGGAGGAAACCATTTTCGACAATATCCACGAAACATCTTTAACTCTACGATAACACTGTTTTGAAACAGTGATCATTTCTGATTCTGAATTATGTATTCGTTTCAATCGATTATATTCTATAATAGCTTTTTCACTAGCAAACACGGATGAAGGATCAAAATTAATTAAATGCAATCCATCAAGAGATGTTACTCGAGATAATGCAACATAAGCCTGACCGTAATTAAATATATTGTTACCTAGATCCATAACAGCATTTTGTAAACTCAAACCTTGACTTTTATGAATGGTAATACCATAACTCAAACATAATGGAAATTGTTTTCTAATAACGTAAATTCTATCCATTAATGGAAATTTAACACTTACTCTTTCAATAAAATACTCTAAACCGGACAGTAAAAGAACTTTTATCTTTTCTATAGTTTTATCCTGCATAACTGATACAACTGTAGCAATTGTACCATTTACAAGACCCAAACTAGCATCAATATTACGTCTTATCATAACTTTCGCTCCAATTTTAATTGTAATTCGTTTTGAAAGTCCAGCTGTTCTAGTATCATCATCAATATTTGACAATACCTTTGTTACTTTTTTTTTCATATATGAAATACAATCAATCGTATCCTCAGCAATTAAAAGTATTTCTTTCGAAGTAATACGACTTAATATTGCAGCGTTTAATTCGTTACACATGTGACATGTAGGTAATAAACAAACAGTATCAGATGATAAATTATTAATAAAATCACATAATTCGCTTAATCTTGTTTCAAAAGACTCACTTTTAAATGATTTTTTTTTTCAAGAACATCATAATCAGATGGTGTTAATAAACCAACGCGAATTCTGGAAAGTAACTCACGATAAAATCCGTCTCCTTGCTGGCGCATATTGATTGTCAGTTCATCATAATCAAACAAAGTCCAGAGATTAGTAGCACTTAAAGAACCAAGATATTTACGAATGTTCTCAGCTATTAATTGTATAAAGGCAGAATCTTCATGTACAGGAGATAACTGAAGCAGATCTCCAAATAAAAGAATGTGCTTTTGACCGAACCAACCATCACAATCAGTAGTATTGTATATATCAGATAGTCGTAAGTATATACATAAGAACTAAATTAGAAATCATTGACACTTCGTCAATTATAATAAGACTAACATCTTTAAGATCTGCTTGTAAAACTTTCAAAACGTGGTTAGCTAATTGCTTATACTTAGGAGTATGGCCATGCTCAACGGGTAATTGCAATAATCTGTGAACTGTCAAACCGTCTATATTAAACGCTGCTATACCAGTAGGTGCTGCTACGGCAGTATCCTTCTTGAGATTTTGTTTTAACCAACATTTGAATGTTTTAATTAAAAAACTTTTGCCAGTACCTCCTTCTCCACTAACATACAATCGTAGTAGTTTACCTGATGATATGATATTAGTGACTCTATCAAATACTCGTCTTTGATCCGTATTCAATTTTGAAATCATTTCGGATATATCGATTTCCTGTTTGTCACCAAGATCCTTAAAATCTTGCATTGCATCACCAGCTTGAATATTTTGTACATCACGATATTCGGCTATTTTTTGTATACTATTATACCTCTATGTGCTCTTAATTAAAATAATATCAGCTACCAATTGATAAGATCTTTTTATTCCTTTAAATTATTTGTAATCTAAAGTCCGGTTGCACCAACGTTACTATAATTTTAAGCGAGGCTTAAAACTCTCTTTGTCCCTGTCACTTTTCGGTTTTAAAACAAAACCATTTCACATGTTTTACGGCTTCTAACCAGGATCTGAAAAGAATAATTTTATGCTTGAAATTTTATGCTGTGTTCAGCTAATTTACAGTACAATTCTATAAAGAAGAACATTTGACACGAGGCAGAGCGACACTTTTTCTGCCAGATTCTTTCGTTTCATACAAAAACGCGTCGAATTAAGCTGCTGTACACCAATCGCCCTAGACCGCCGACTGATGGCATTGATCACGACACTCATTTCTCCGACGGCAAATGAAATCCTAGACACTCATTTCCTCGAACACTTAGACATCCACTTTCTCGACGGCGAATGCAGACAATACCTAGACACCCGTTTCCTCGGCGGCGAACACCTAGACACTCAGTTCCTCGACTATAAACACCTCGACGGCGAACACCTAGACACTTAATCTTCAACGGCAACATCCACTTCCTCGACGGCAAACATCTAGATACCCATTTCTTTGACGGCGAACACCTAGACACCCATTTCCTCGAAAGCGGATACCTAGACACCCACTTCCTCGATGGCGAACTAGAATACCCACTTCTTCGAAGGCGAACACCTAGATATCCACTTCCTCGACGGCGAACACCTAGACACCCATTTCCTCAATTGCCAATACCTAGACACCCACTTCCTCGACAGCGAACACCTAGACACTCATTTCCTCAATAGTGAACACCTAGACACCCATTTCTTCGACGGCGAACACCTAGACACCCATTTCCTCAATTGCCAATACCTAGACACCCACTTCCTCGACGGCGAACATATAGAAAACACCTAGACAACCACTTCTTCGACGGCAAACACCTAGACACCCATTTCCTCGATGGCAAACACTTAGACACTCATTTCCTCAATAGTGAACACCTAGACACCCATTTCCTCAATAGCAAACACCTAGACACCCATTTCCTCGACGCAAACACCTAGACACTCATTTCCTCGATAGCGAACACCTAGACACTCACTTCCTCGACAGCGATCACCTAGACACTAATTACCTCGACGGCGAACACCTAGACACTAACTTCTTCGACAGCGAACACCTAGACACCCACTTCCTCGACGGCGAACACCTAGACACCCATTTCCCCGACGGCGAACACCTAGACACCCACTTCCTTCAACGGCGACCACCTAGATACCCATTTCCTCGACGGCGAACACCTAGACACCCACTTCC